CTCTCTCTCTCTCTCTCTCTCTCTCTCTCTCTCTCTCTCTCTCTCTCTCACACACACACACACACACACACACAAGCACAGGCACAAACACACACCTCTACTTCATGTCACATCTTCATCTCTGACTCTGACCCTCCTGCCTCCCTCCTGTAAAGACCCTGTGATGACATTGAACCCACTCAGATAACCCAGGGTAATTCTTCCTGTCTCAGGAGCCTTAATTTGATCATGTCTGCAAAGTCCCTTTTGCCATATAAGGTAGTGTTTACAGGTCCTGGGGACTAGGACTTGGACATCTTTGGGGGTCCATTATTCAACCTACTAGAAGGACTAATTGCAAATGAATTAACAGTCTATAGGTTATTTATTTGATAGAGTGAGTGTAAAAATGGTGTTAATTATGGAGCAATAAGAGCTAGAGAGAGCCCGTAACACATGAGTCCTTGTTGAATAGTAGGGAGAAGGCACCTTAGGAGAGGCGACATGTATGTAGTGGGGTTGTAGAGAGGGGTGCAGAGGGACCATCAGCAATGGCCTCGTCTGGCTGGAGTAGAAACTACAGATTAGAATATGTGGGGAGTGCCAGGTGGATACTGGAAATATCAAGGGGGAACACTTTGTAAAGTATATGATTGTCTAACCACTATGCTCTACACCTGAAACCAATACAAAATAATATTGAATGTAAACTGTAATTGAAAATAAAAAAAAAAGAATGTATGGGGACAGCATAGCTAGATGGTTCCTAAATGAGGTGGAACCTGAGTGCCACATGGAAGAGTTTGGATTTGATTTTCAGCCATGGGAGGCTGCTGTAACTAGCAGTGCGATAATATTACTTAACATAATATTGATGTAAAATTGGTTCACACTTTATGCTCAACTTGACTGTGACTCAGAGAATCAAAATTAGAAGCAGGCTTAAAAAATGAACAGGAAAACTAATGGACAGTAAGAAAGATTTGGGGGATCTTTGTAAAGGAATATACTAGATATTTTGACAGAATCACTGTGTGTGTGTTGTCAGACTGGAAATGGTGTGCTGGGGGTGGGGGTAGGCTCACTCAGTGCTTCCAAATGAAATGTCCAAAGGTAAGGGACATGAGGGAAGCCTGCCTTACCAGGGCTCTCTGTCAGAGGCTTATGCTCTTTTACTCACTGCCATCTAGGAATTTCATCTTTGATAAGAGAACCTAACTTCCCTAGACTTTGTTGTTTAAGGTGCCCAGGACTCATGAAGTCTTGAACCCATTACACTTTTATTATGGGCTGCAGAAACTTTGGTAAAGGTTAATTACTGCATATTTCTCCTTATGTGGTACTTTCACATCTCCTAAAGCTTTATCACCACCAATATTTGTTACTTATTGATCTTTTTTTCTTTCTTTCTTTCTTTTTTTTTTTTTTTAATACTATATAACTCGGTTCCAAGAAAGACAGATCTGTAGTGGGGATCAGACAACAGCCAGTGTTTATTTAGGCAGGCTGAGGCAATCCTTTTGCAATGGAAGGGGCATTTTTTTCTTAGATGCAAGATCTAGAGAATTATGGAAATGTTGGGATGAAAACTAAAGCATATTTGAGCTTCTTTTCTTTCACCATCCCAGTAATGACAAAAGATGTTTTGAAACTGTGATATTCTCCTGTCTTTCAGGCTTTTTGTGGAAGGAATGCCAGGAACAAAGATGTTTTCCTTCATTTTGCTGTTCAATCAGGTTGCTTATAACCCACGAGGCTGTCATATTGTCATCTTTAGAGCTTGTAGTATTGCCTGCTAACTCTGCAAGGCAGCTGGTTGGGCCAGGCTTGGCCAGAAATGCACTGTGCTCTCTAGTTTGTGGAACCTTCCCCTTCGTGTGTTAGATCCCACTGGCTAATGCCTGGCCTGGATGTTCTTTGATTGCCCATGTGATGGGCATCCCCGGCTGAGGCCTCCTCCTAAGCCAAGCCAGAGAGAGTGGCAACTCCCCTGTCAATTCTCGCTCTGCCCTTCTCCTTTCACTGACGTTCAGGGCATCATTAGAGTTGGAATGCTACTTCCGTCTGCTTCCCCATCTTTTCTCTAACATTTTATTTGCCTTTTGCCTGGTTTCTATGCTAGAATGTTTTTGTTGTTGTTAAACCTCACCCGAGGATACTTTTCCATTGACTTTTTTAGAGTGGAAGGGAAGGAGGTGTTGGGGGTAGGGGGGGGGGAGAGAGAGACATCAATGTGAGAGAGACACATCAATTGGTTGCCTCCCACATGACCCTGACTGGGGCCCAGGAACTGAACTGTCAACCCTTTGGTCTACCAGCCTATGCTCTAACTGCTGAGCCAAACTGGCCAGGGCTATGCTAGCATGTTTTAATCAAAGGATCTGTATGGCTGTTACACCTTAGGATTTCTTTCTGTGCTATCATTTCAGGAGAAGGTTGTATTTCTTGCCTCTGAAACAGCAGGGATAATGTGAACAATTACCCTAGTAGAAGGACTAAATAATACATTTCACTATTTGGGCCTTCAATTTGTATTTTCATTAAAATAATACTATGCAGAAAGTTTTAAAAGCCAATAGTTCCAAAAGGCCTTTAATGCAAAAATTCAGTAAACCTCACCTCTTCTCTACCACCCTCAACTTTTCCATCTATTTCTTCTGATATTTAACTCGGTGTTTCTAAATAATATTTTCATATTGCTCTGTGAAGAATTTCCAGACTTTCCCCTATGTCGGGAGAGTATTTAATGCTGTTGGACAGTCCCTGTGCCCACTGCATTTTCCTTCTCTCCCCTGCCCCACTTTAATTTTAGAAATGTTTTCTGGTCTTGAGGTATTTGTCAAGTTCATGCCAAGTAAGCAGCAAGTCAGGCTTCCTGAGTCATTTGACTATGTTCTCAATGGTTCACATTAGAATATTTTTTGAATACTAAATGTGCTAATAAGTGAACAAACTACATTAAAAGACTCTTTCTGGTTATATGGACCCAACGCAGGAGGTAGGAGTGGACTGAAAAATCACAGTACACTTATAAGATGATACCAGGGGAAGTTTATCACTGTGGTCTTCCTAGATCAATCAAGTTGTCTCAAACTAAGTGGAAATTGAGGCTGTGAATAAACTTAGGACTTCTTATAAGTCTGTGGTGTGTAGTGAAGTCCTATCTGCCCTTTTCTAGAAAATACATAAGGGGCTAGGCATTTGCTAACTGGAACCTAATGCCCTCTGTCACCTCACTTCAGTAATACTTAATCTAGGCATAATTAATCAACCAAAGACGATAGGAAAGAGATGCCAAGGCCAAGAGCAGTTCAGAACTGAGCACTCCATTCAGCAAAGGGTATAATCAAGTTTTTTCTCCACCCCTTCTCCTTCGTGACTTTTAGAGCATACTTGGGACACAGGGCTCGGAAAATTCTTCTGGGGCATTGATAAGATCAGACAGGTTCTTGGAAAATTTTTATCTCAGGAAATTCCAGTTGCCAAGGCTTCCTATCGAGCAATATGTGGCAGCTAGGGTATGGGGGAAAAATAAACCAGAAAGAAAGGTTTTTATTTTTTATTTTTATGAGAGTGAAGCCTGAACAGTTCCATTAGAACAAGTTAAGTCACCCAACTGTAGTCTGTTCTGACAACTTAAAAAAATAGATGAAACAAAACTGTGAGATCATAGTGAACAGAACCGAGAAAACAGCAATGAGTGATAACAGGCTTTTCATAAAAATTACGTTTCTGAATTTCTGTGAAGTAATAGTAAAAATAAATGTGAAATGATTTAGTCTGAGTTTGTTCATTCATTTATTCAGTGCATACTATATACCGGTTCCATATATGCGAGGGGCTAGGAACACAATGGTAAGGAAAGGCAGCATGCCCCAGCTCTCAAGTATTTGCAGTGTAGCCCACAGAGTACTCAACAGACCCCAACTGAGGGATGTGTGGTGATGGGGCGGGCATAAGAGAGGACCCTGACTAGACTACAGCACCTGGGAATATCACTGTCCGTAGAAACTCATATTGAATAGTTGAGCAACTATCTCAAGGTTGAGGATGGTGTGATTTAGGAAAAGAGGGTAGGGGAATGGGAGAAGATATTCTGGACAGAAAAAAATAGCATGTGCCAGGTTCCCATGGCGGGAGGAACAGAAAGAAGGCCGTGGTGACCAGAACTCAGAGTGTGAGGGGAAAGTCATGGGAGGTGAGGCTGGAGGGCTAGGCTGGGCTGATACCATGCAGTCAAAGATTTCAAGCAAGAGAAATACCACAACTGCTCTGACTGTGGCGTGCAGGGCAGGCTAGGGCCATATGAATGTACGGCAGCCAGTCAGTAAGCTCTGGATGTAGCCTGGGTGATGGGCTATGGTTTGGTTGGTAATCAAAGCTGTGGGTGAGTGCAGGAAGTCTGGAGGAGGAAATTGATAGGGCTTGACAGATTGGATATGAGGGATGAAGAAGAGGGGGACATCCAGGGAGACCCTTAGTTGTCTGACCTATAGAATGTGCCAGAATGGATGACATTACCTTTAAAAAAATTTTTTTTAGAGTCCTTCTAATGGTTTTCTACAAATAGGTACTTTTGGTATATGTTGCCACAAAGATAGACAAAGATTTTATGGAAAATCTTTAGGCAGTGGGAGTGGGAGGTTAATATGGAAAGGATGTGAATACCAAAGTAGGAGGCCCCAGACATCCAGAACTTGAAATGTGAACATTGCCCAGAACTGACAAGTTGAGTAATGATGGGAGGAGGGTCATAAAGATGCCCCTTATAGATTTTTTTACAAGTGATTTGAATGAAAGATGAGAAGTAGACGCAGAAAGGAAACATACTGTGAGGCCTGTATAAAGTATAGCTATACTTGAATAAGAAAATTGGAAAGAATATCAGATTTTATTGTTTAGGGGAGATCCTTACCCAGTGATCATTTTTCTAGAAGTAAAGCTTGAAATGTGGGAAACTACATTTTTACAAGATGACAAAACCAGACTTGTTTTTTCTTCTTCTTTTTTTCTTTTCTAAGGTGGTTGATATGCCGGAACACAACCCTGGCAATTTGGGAGGAACAATGAGGCTCGGAATAAGAAGAACTGTTTTCAAAACTGAAAATTCAATATTAAGTAAGTTTCTCAGATCTTTTGTTTTACAAGACATCGGGTGCATTTGCCTTGCCCTTCCACCATCCTGCTTCTCTTCCAGCAGCCTCGGGTGCTCCGACTTCCTGTCACCTGTCCCCCCTAACCTGGCTGGTCCTTCTGCTTCCCAATTCCTCTCCCCGGAAGGGTTGGTAGAACACATGTGGATGCTCCTTCTCGTTTGATGTTCACCATACCCTGTCCAGTGGGCTGTTTTGTGATTTACCCATGCTCCTGGACATGACCTTTTGCTGGGAGAGCCCTAATTCCAACTCTGCTCTTTTGAATCCACTGTTCTCTCTACTATATTGAAACCCACTCCTTCTTTGATTGTTTCATGTTTGACTGGTTTTAGCCACTAATTTAGGAATTTCTTGAGAATGAGGGCAGGTATGTCTCAGAAGTCTATTTCTCTGTTTCCCTCAGTAGCTCCAGCATGAGGAGAGGAAAATATGATGTCATACTTGCTGATCTACTGATCTATAATTTGCTGACCTTCCACTCCCAGTAAGATTACTCTAATTTCTGTGGAGTTTTGCCCATATATTAACATTTTCTATGAGATTAACTTAATGTCAAAACTCTGAAAGCACTTAATTCAATTTAATAAATATATCTTGAGTGCCTACTGTGTGCCTTATGCACCATGCTAGATTCTGCAGATACAGTAGTGACCAGAACAAATACCAGCCCTGCCCTCCTGGGGCCTCATAACAAGTGGAGAAGTGGGATAAAAGGGGCCGTGCAAGGTGCTAATGGGGCTGTCTGCAGAAGAGGGAGCCCAGTATCTGGGGCATCCAGCATCTTTCTGTGAAGTTTTAAGAATATCTGAGAAAAATGCCTTCTTAACTCAATGAAGAATCAGATCAGAAATATGAGTTTCTCCTTTAAGGATAATACATAGCTTCTAAGGAATATAAAGCTTCCTAGCAAGAATAAAGTTGAAAAAGAAAAAGTTTCAAAGTGTACACATTTCCCTACTTTCTCTGGATAAGAAACCTTTGTTTTCTAAGTGACTTCTTTAAGAATATATATATTTTTTCTTTTTGTGGCTATTACTTTGACACTTTGTTCAAATGATTGCCTAAGTGACCAAAAATAGTTAGAAAATTAAAGTTTTAAAATTGCATCTGCTGTAAAAGAGTCAGTGATAATGGTTTTGAACTTTGAAAAACAGAGCATGTGATATATATACACACACACACACACACACACACACACACACACACACACACATATTTGTTGTTGTTGTTAATCCTCACCTGAGGATATTTTCCATTTACTGTTTTTTTAGAGAGAGAGTGGAAGGGAGGGAGGGAAAGAGAGAGAGAGAGAAACATTGATGTAAGAGAGATGTATTGATTGGTTGCCTCCCACATGACCCCAACCAGGGCTGGGGATTGAACCTGCAACCCAGGTATGTGCTCTTGACCGGAGTCAAACCCATGACCTTTCGGTGCATGGGCCGATGCTCTAACCACTGAGACAAACTGGCCAGGGCTGTGTTCAATATATTTAAAATTTTTATCTGTCTTGATAGAAGTAAGACTGATTTAGGATTTGTTTTTCTTTACAGGAGACATAAAAGTAATGTTGGTGATTTTTATGAATTTTAAACACAACACCAAAGCTTGTTTCTTAATATCTCTTGCCTGCCTGGAAAAAAATTTTAAACAGTTTCATTGATATTTAATTTACATACCATACAATTCATCTGTTAAAAGTATACAATTTACTGTTTTTTATTCATTCCCGTTAGTTATCACTACCACCTCTCCAGCCCTAAGCAACCATTAATCTACTAACTGTCTCTATAGTTGACAAATCTGGACATTTCATGTAAATGGAACCATATAATATATGGTATTTTGTTGGTCTTCTTTTATTTGGCATAATATTTTCAAAGTATACACACATTGTAGCATGTGTCAGTAATTCATTCCCTTTTATGTCTAAATAATATTCCACTTTATGGACATATCACATTCTGTTTATCCATTCATGAGTTGCTTGACATTTGGGTTATTTCCAGGCCTGCCTTAGATGGAAATTATGCTTCATAGTTCGCAAAAGGCATGAGTATATGAACCCGAGGTCCCCAGCAGGCATAAAGTTTTGCCCTCCCACCTGTGTGAGGTCTTCCACAGGTCTTCCAAAAAGGTTGTGTCAAAGATAAGAGATAAACACAGGACCACTGTGCATAGCTTTATTAAATGTCATAAAAATATAAAAGCATATAATACCTTACTGTTTTGTGTTTTTTTTTTTTTCTTTTTTTTTCCTAGTCGGCATATTTCTTTTGTAGGAGTTTATCTTTTTCACAAGCTGGCACATTTCGTTTGTAGGATTTTTTTTCTCTTGTCAGCCCATTTATTTCGTAGACTTTTTTTTTCCTAGTCAGCACATTTCTGCAAGAATGGTAAGGAACAAAATGCATTTGGCCACATTGCCTATGACAATAACTTATTGTTTTGATGAAAAGCATTTTGATGCTATTCATTCTTTATTTATATTTGATTTATAGGCCAGGATTGCAGTGCTCTGGATTAAATGGAAAAAAGAAAGTAAAGAGGTTTTCTTTTATTTTGAAATTGGACCAAAGCCTAAAAATATTGATAGACACAATGGCTGGATTACTAGAGTGATTCTAATTTTTATATTCATCAAGAACAATTCCTCTTTCTTCTTAGTCACCTGTTAGTTCCTTAAGGGTTATGAAAACTATGGATTTATTTTTTCTTCTTTTTAACCACTTTATTGAGGAAAGATTGACATACAAAAAGCTGTACATTTTAATGTGTACAACTTTATGAGTTGAATTTGAGTTTTCTAAAGTAGAGATTATAGATATAAATTGATTTAAATAAAAGTACTGCTAATCATCATTTGTTTTATTTATAGGAAATGTGTTCTCAGAGTCTCACTCCCATCCTGTGTGTGTGTGTGTGTGTGTGTGTGTGTATGTGTGGTCTTGGTCTGCAAAGGCTTTCTCTTATAAAAGGATTAATGGTGGTATGCTTGATATTTTTCCAAACTGTATATTTCTGACCCTTCTCCTAAGAATTAATTGTATAGCCATGGTCTTTTCCAAACTTTATCTACCTATCATGCTTACTTTTTATATAGTCTTTTATTATAGCATGACTTTTTCATGTATTTCATATTCATGTCTATTATTTGGGCATATAATTTTTAATTGAGTTAAGGGACCATAATCTGCTAATTGATTTCCTATTGTTAAACATTTCAGGTTGTTCCCTGCATTTTGTTAGAAAAACACTGATGGGAGGGAACATCTTGAGAGAGTTTATGTACTTTTGTTATTTCCTTAGGAGAGATTTCCTGGAGTCAGACTGTTAGGTCAAAGGGTACGAACACTTTTATGACTAATACTTCTACTGGATTGTTTGAAAGAAGAGGTGAACAAGTTCATAATGACGTTAACTGTACTGTAGTGTTCTTACCTTTTCTAATCTTTTTGTTGTATATTTATGATTTTCTTCTTGCTCAATGACCCCTCCAAAGACCAAGCCTCTTTCATATTTATAATCTAATGTTATTTCTTTCAATGCGATTTTTATTTGTAACCTTTGGCAAATAGATAGTGTTCAGTATATGCTTATGGTACCACATCGATTGTGGTGACACATTTCTAATTCCCTGAATTGAGAATTTCTGGAGTTTTAATTTTTCATAATGTCTTACTCAGAACCAAACCTTTGCATTTGAAAAAGTACAGAAAATGAAGACAATCCCCCCTTTTTCTTTTTAAAAAACTCCTGGAAAAGTCAGTAAAAGATTTTGTGAGTGCCAGACCACTCAGTAATGTCTCCTTTATGTGCACAGGTGGGATTGTTGAATCAGAAGCGTAGAGCTGAATGGGCAAGGAGGATATTGTGGGAGAGATTCCAGAAATCTGCTCACTCCCAAAAGAGCATATCTTGTTTCTCTAAAGGGGGTGGGAGTGAGTGTAGGTGGGGGAGTCCTGAGAATCAGGTGATGAGTTGTACGTGACTTCTCTGTGACTTCTCATTCCTAACTGGCACTCTTCCCAAAGCCAGATTCAACCTTAAAGCAGTCTTGTCTACAGTGCTGTCAGAGTTCCAATGGGAAGACCCAGCAAACCTTTTGTATCTAAGGAACAACACAGTCTATTTAAGAAGATGGGGCCACAGGATGGAGACCTAGCTTTCTGGGGAATGGCAGGGGGTCCTGAACCTCCTCATTATTTTCCTACAAGAAAAAACTATGTCCCTTGTTTTTCACAGTTAAAAAAGGCTAGTGTTTTTTTTTTTTTTTTTTTTTTTAAGTTGCCTGGAAATTGTTTGGAACTTTAGCCGCAAAATGGAGTTTCTTCTCCCGTTACTGAGATTTTAGGCACCCACGTGCCAAATTGCAAATGGTTAATAGCTGAACAACCTGCAGCAACATTCCTCCAAAGGAAGAAAACTTTTGTGCGAGTGATATAGAATTGCCTAAATGGGATCTTCCCAAACTAACTGTCCTCAGCTCAGGTGATAGATGGCATCTCCAGTGCCTTTCCAACCTGTAGCTTTTCGTTTTGTTTCAGGTTCTATAACACGTCTCTGAGGAAACTACTCCTGAGCTCTTGGCCTTTGGTTTCAGGATTTTTTTGTTTGTTTGTTTCTCACCTGAGAATATTTTTCCACCTATTATCAGATAGGGTGGGAGGGAGGGAGAGAGAGAAAGAGACAGAGAGAAACATTGATAGACCAGTTGCCTCCCACATGAGGGCTGGGGACGAACCGCAACCGAGGTACGTGCCCTTGACTGGAATTGAACCTGTGACTCATTGGTCCGCGGGCCAACACTCCAACCACTGAGCCACACTGGCCAGGGCATGTTTCAGGATTTTAGAATGCCCTCAGAAGTTAGGGCTAACTGGTAGATGAGTTCTCAGTACAGCATCTTCTAGGATCTCAAGTCATTTGATAATGTGTGGCTGAGCCAAGTTGGCTCTATTA